TGTTAAGCTTAAAATTTGCTCAACGATATTATCGATTATTTATGGAGAACGAGTTGCGCGATGAGAGATAATTGATAACTCGCGTCAAATAAACATGCAAAATAAAATTTGGCAATTAATTATATAGATTAATTACAACTCTCTCTCATATTTCATCTTCGAATATTAGCGTCATTATTTATCGAACATTTGTTCAAAATCTTGTGAAGCACGTGATGTATTATTGAACCTCCTTTTTTTTCTCTTAAAGTACGTAAATATTTGCCTTTATCATCGACCGCGCCACTCTCGATATGAAAGCCCGAGTCCTTTCGCGATGCAATCGCGTGGGTTTTAGAATCGGCAGTAAGGAGCGCGAAAGGATCGTTGATCGAAAACGGCGAACCGTACTTACGGTTTTACAAGCCGTGACTACGAAACTCACTTTGAGCTCTCCTGCACGATCGGTGAAATCACGCTGACGCACCGCCGCCACGTCCAGAGAGACAGAGGATCCAGGCACGAGATCGCGGAACCAAAGCACGCGGCGAAAAATCGCCGTTCAAGGCACGAGCGTAAACACCGGACTGACGAGACGACGCGCCGCGCCGTGTGCGAGACCATGCCGCGACCGACTTCGATAGGCTGCTTTCACACCGAAGCCGCTCCACGACACACTGTGGGGATGCAGCATCATGCTCTTTTGGTTGGTCGGCATCTGGACCGAGCAACCTGCGAGGGACGCAAACGCGATGCATACCTCAGTGTGTTCCTGAATCTTTATTTTATATAATAAAGTATAAATATAAGCGATATAACATGGCTGTACGTAAATCATTTTTAAAATAAATTTATTTCATAAAAAACGAAGATTCAGAATTAAATTAGAATTTAAAGATAGTATTTATATTTTATTTCTTGTTTATGGAAATTTAATGAAATATCTTAATATTTTTCTATTTATATATGCACATTAATTCAACCTCCTCGTTAACGTAACGGTTTTTAGAAAGGAAAGACGGATAGAAAATTCTCCTTTCGAACATTGATTTTAGAAATTACAGAAATCAGATAAGATAGACAAGTCATAAATTCGAAAGACTCGTATATCTTTTGGCGAACGCCAACTCAGACAATTTAGCTTGGTTATTAGTAAGCAATTTCGACACGGTGATAACTTCGTGAAGGATCAATTGAATATTTATCAGTGACGTTCTCGAGCCGCTTCTCCTCGCCTGGCAATTAATCCCTCGAAATAGCGGCGTTCTCGTCAATATCTCGTAACGCTGCCCGCTGCCGGTCGACGACCCTATGCACCATGTAACCGGTGTATTTCGAGCAAATTTCCAGCTAAATCTCGATTCTCGCGAACGCGCGAGCGCGCCTATATTCTTACAGCATCGCCGCGATAACACGCGATCGTAATGCATTACGTTTTTCCGCAGCGTTTACGCGCGTTTTGCATATTGCTCGTCGCTCTTTGCCGTATCATTTGCATACGCGCCAAGGCAACAAAGTTTTTATTTCTTTCTATTTGATTGTCTGCAAAAAAACTAATCTCCGCCAAACCGGATTTATCGCTCAAATTATACGCGAGCAATTATGAGAATAATTGTAGAATTTTTCCTGTAATTTATCGTTATCCGGTTAACGATTGAACGACCGGTGTGACTTGCGAGAAACATTCACTTTATTATCTTGGAAATGTTCTTAAAAAAGTGTAACAGGAAATGTCAGAAGCATAACGCGAAAAATGATAATGCTGAGTTTAAAGAAAAAACGTAGAGAGAGAGAGATATGGCTCTCTGTCCAGAAAAATAATACTTTTTAAAAATAATATAACCCCGCCCTTTCTGAACAGGTTTCGATCAATACAGGATTCGATCATAAAGATCGAAATTGAAAATTGAAGATTGGAAGCCGATCAATCAAGTAATCTCAAGCTTAGCTCTTTATTTTGACAAGTCGAGTTCCAATCTCTAATTTGCAATCTTCAATTTCAACGCACAAAGGCACAAGCACTATGAAAAATGTTCAATTCGAAGCACGTGAAATCGGCACGTTATTTATGAATTATTAAAAACGCTTCGAGCAGAAATGTCACATCATGTTGCAGCTCGCGTCTCTGTGGACGACGCTTAATCCGAACAAAGGCAAGGCATCCGATGGAAAAGAATTTGCTGTAGGACTCCCATCCACCCTTTGGATCCGAAACTAATTCATCTCAAGGCCCCGCAGGTCATAATTCACATCTTGCCCACCATCACCAATAAGCGACAGTTCTGAGAATTTCGAAAATGACACATCTGTCACCAGATCGTTTTCGCTCAATGTTTTTTTAAAGAAAAATCTAACAGGAAAATTTCTCTACGAAGTGGCGAACTTAAGAACAGAAAATGATTCGGAATTTTTAAATGACAAGTATTTAAAAAATATCATAATTATGACATAAACGTTTGTTAAATACTTTAATAGAAACGAATGGAATGTAACGTGCGCAAGGAAGTAAATATAATAATAAATCGGAAAGGCGTAATATAAATCGTAATGAGCACGAATAAGAATAAATATATATTAGATGCTAAAGATATATTTTCGAGCAGAGTTTGAACGTCTGCTTGAAAGGTCCGAATTATTTAACACTCAATATCGAGATCCAAACTTTCTAAATCGATCGACCATCTGGAATTTTCGCGTACCAATAATATCTTTCCTTTCTCTACTTAATATAACGTATATAAATCGTGCTACATAGAATTCGCAATTTTTTTCAACTTATTAACCCTAGACGGCGAGCCACGGACAGCGGTAATCGAATCTCCGAGACAGCACACATGTCTTTCAGATGTCTTTAAGACACGCGTGCTGTTTGGGCCGTTGTGATCCATACCGATTTTTACGTTCTATTCTCATTGTAAAAATTATGCAACTTTTGGATTTAGACACGTTTTTTCTTTTCGAAATTTTGTGCAATACTGCGTGTATATTGATTGCGGAAACACTAGTTTAAAGCTTGTCCGCCTTATCCTGCAGACTAAACATTCGGCGCTTGGGCTTCAAATGACCCGGCCACCGCTAGGCGAGAGTTAATCGGTATACGTCCTACTTTCAAAACTGACCAAATCGTCGAATGCAAAACATGCTTGTAATTTTGTATGAGAATAATTTTATAAACTTATACTGCAATGTAGAGCAAATACGTGTCGTAATATATTTTTAATTATGAGCAACGGGAGAATCCATGAAGAAAAATGATAAGAATCTAAGAAAGTAAAGGAACCGTAAAATGATACACTGAGTTTCCTAAATCTTTCAAGGATATCAATAGCATGTAGCGTAAATGCCTTGAGTTTATTGACGTAATTTTATCGCGTGCATTTAAAGAATTCCATTGGCATAAATACAAAACAAAAATGTAAATTCCAGTAAAGAACGGGAAAAAGGAATTCCAATTAGCGTAAGCAATGAACGGAATTCGCGATTGTTGCAATGTATTAAGATAAAAATCGACATAAAATCTGGAACAGTTTCTATTTTCGATTTCTTTTAGCGAATTGTAAAAGAAAATTTGTGTAATATACAGTTCTGCAATTGAAATAATACGAACTAGATTTTGCCTTGGAAAAATTTTTTACCTACTCATGAATATTTTATTTCTTCAATATTTAATCTAAGATGTTATTCCAGCTAAACTAAAGTAATGTTAATTTTAAAAATTTAATTCAATTCTCATACTAAAATTCCATTAAAGTCTGTTTCAAAATCAATTAAAAATAACCACTGGATATCAAATTTATCTAAAAATTTTTCAATTTTCAATAACGTAAACAGGAAACAGTGTATCTGACCTATATTTTGTACATAATCATTTCGAGATTATTTTAATGAAACACGAAAAAGATAATACGAACATAAAACAACCTCGATCAGTTTCAAAAGAAACACGCAGGAGCACAGAATTTCATCAATAACGACAAAAGCGATCTGCTCGGAAGGTCGCCGATTCCACACGAACGGGTTTACTGTTTCTTCGGCGAGGCGTGTGATGCCTGTTTCGATACTTCGTCGGGATTCTTGCGCAGGTCGATAGTGCACCTGTGTGTACATCACGTGAAGAATACCGTTGCGACCAGACGCCGCGCCGGTGGCAAATGCCAGTCAACGATATACGAGCCCTGTCGCGCGAAATCGAGCGCGCTTCTCCGCGAAAATTCGTTTCTCCTTCGATAAATTTACCATAACGAGGGGACCTATTGTGCTTGCATTCTCGCGCGAAAGAATCACTCGTGACTCACGATCGTTCGAACGTTTATCTCTGTTTTTATTGGCACATACGCGCGCAACGCGGCAGTCACGTTCTCCATAATATATCGCCCCTTTCCTGTTTGTCGATAACGCTAATTTTCCTGTGCACGGAAACCGGGTTAAACGAGGTGTAAAAATATCGAATACCAACGCCCGACGAATGCATCGTAAATCATGCGTAAATGCATCATAAAGCAGAATGTTTAAGCGAGTGTGGAAAGATCGCGAGAGGAGATACGATCGAATTCTCATTAAAAAACGTCGCGCTAAAGGTGTGAAACGCTTTATAAATATCGTCGATTATATGTGTACATTCTTGGACAGATGTGCGATATATTTAGCTGATCCTCAATTATCTTGTCTTTTACCAATATTATTATAGATAAATGAAGAAAGTCAAGAAGGCCGTGAATTAATAGATGCCCTACATCGCTCCTTAACCTTTTGACCTATTTTCAATAAGTATGTCTTTAAATAAAAGAGCCTAAATGGAAGGTGAATCAATCAGAACTCGATCATCCTGTGATTGTTTCCTAATCTAAATACAAATTTTTCTTCTTCTAAATAATTCGTATTTATATAAAAAATAAGTCTACCGCAAATCATTATAGCTTGGTTGCAAAAGGCAAGCCTATTTCTTCCACAAGTCTTTCTACAAAGCAATTACTTATCGAATAATCGGTACGATCGAATCGGCGCACATTATTTCCACGTACCTCGTTTGCCTGATTGCAGGGGGAAGGCACTTTGGCGGAGAGTTCCCTCAGGAAGTCCTCGGTGCTCCTCGCGACGTCGGTCGTACTTCCGGCATCGTCGTCCGCGCCGCTTGCGGGAGAGACGTTTTCCTCACCACCGCCATCGCCGCCCTTCTCCCTCGTCCGCTGCTCGTGCTTCGAGAGCAGCTCGCGCTGCTTCTGGAAGAACTCCGGCTCGCTGAAGCATTTCTCGAGGCTGGCGGCGCGTTGAAGGGTCGTCGGCGAGCTCGGAGTCGAACGCGAGAACTCGAGCTCATCCCGCAGCAGGTTCTCCGCGCTCTTATTGCATATTCGCGGCGGATCCTGGTCGCGAAACGTCCGCCGCTGCCCCTTCGATACTTCGCACATCGCGCGCTAATCAGAAGATATTTTATCGCTTGGCGTCGAGGCTATTCCGCAGCGTGCGTCCAGCGTCATTTCACGCGAACATTTCTCGGACGAACCTGAAAAAAATCCCAGATTTTTCTCAATTATTCATTCGCTGAATTAACGATTGATAATTATATAGCGTGTGCGATTGTTTTCCACGATCATTTAAAGTATTATTAAACTACTATTATTTTTAAACAATATATACTTAAAATACATATTTTCAGATATCTCTATTATAAATTACAAATTCGTATTATGAATTGTTAATAAAAAGTTTTGTTACTTGCTATTCTTTTATACAACCATTTTATATAGACGATTCATTGAGATTACTTTATGCAACGCATAATGATAGCTCGCGCGTTTTTAGTTCGAAGCTCAAAATTCACGCGCTTGAAAAATTACACGAGAATTAAATCGCAAATCATAAATATACTTATAACATATTTGTAAATAATATATTTCACGCGATAAACGCCTCGTTAATTTTCAATTCGCGCGTTCGCGCGTTCATGGCACAAAAATGCTCGACGTAACACGATAACGATTCGCGTTCGCTCTTCGGTGTTTTGTTTCAAGGTTAGAATCACTCTATCGCGCGGGATGGCGAGGCAAGGACAAAACGAGATCGTTTGGCAAGTGTACCTGTGCAAGCACACGTTCAGCGAGACCCCACGGCCGCTCGATCCTTCCGCGAGGACGAAGACGCCTCGTGCTGCGTTTTCGCGACACGACGCGCGCACAGACACCACTACCGCGAGACTATCTCACTGCGAGGGACGACCACCCCGACGTGCGTCATGCGGAGGGACATCTGTTGCCCCTTGCCCGCGACACCCCTCGACGTGAGAGCGAGTGAGGACGCTCGCTTCCTCTCCTTCGTGCACGCGAGATCGTTACGCTCGCACCACGCACGCGTGATGTACGGGGTGGCGCGTGGAAAACAGACTCGGCACTGGCAATTATTAATGTTGAAGGTGCAATAAGTATTAAATATATCTGTACTTTTCTTTCGCAGCTAAGTATAATTAAATCAATTGAGGCTTATGTGACTTTAAGATAATCGAGAAATAAGAAAATTTTTCACAATATTCTGCGGAAAGTCAAAAACCGTGTTCAATTCGCAAATTGATTAAAAATATCCCTTTGCTTTGTCACCTTCTTTCCTAGTTTAATATTGCTTATTTTATAATAAATTATATTTTTTGATTCAGCAAACTTATTCGTAACTTTGAAGAATCTGTGTTTTATTTCTTTATTTTTGCGTGTGTATTACATCACCCATGATTATTAATTCATGATATTTAAAATAAAGAGTAAACAGCGTTCACTATCTGTGTGCAAAAGGGCTACCTGAAAATTGCATACGTTACTGCTAACATGTATATCTATCACTTTCTCCCTGTTCTCCCCGTCCCCTTTTCCCCACCCTTTTGCTGTCCTACCTCCCTTACCCTTTATTATTATCGTTTTCTCTTTCTCTCTTATTGTCCCGCTATCCTTGCCCTTCTCTTTCCTACTTTCGCTTCGCCCTTTCATCCTCTTATCGCCCCAATCCACACCTCCCTTTCTCTGTGACATTTTTCCCTTGCTCTTGTTTTGCTTCTCTTTTCTTCTTTTCGCCACGCTTTTCCCGATCTTCCCCATAAAAAAATTGTGGGGCTCGTTGTGAATTATGCCGCGGGGATGCGTAGACGAGACGGCGGTGACGACGTCGCGACGCCGCCTAAAATGCTCATGCGTCAATCGATCCATGACTTCCGGCGAAGGAAGAATTCTTCGGGCTTTGCGCTTCGCGTCTCTATTACTCGCTGAAAATTCGTTTTCCATCCCCACCGATTTCGTTTTCTCGATGTAGAATAAAATTATTCAACACTCGACACGCACACGCAACGCAAACGCATCACGTATATACGAGAGCTTACGAAACCATAATGTAAATAATAACAACCAATTCTTATTGTTTTAAATCGCAAACAGAATTTTATCTAGCATTATGTTGTAAATCATAAGTCGTATAATTTGCAAAGTGATTCTATGACTTTCTCAAAAATTCCACATTACTTTGAATAATTAAATATCTTGAAGTTCATTCGTAAGTATTCATTTTTCTTGACTCATTTGTCAAACATAAATTTCTATTATGAAAA